TTCGATTCCGGTCAAGGGCATGTACCTTGGTTGCGGGCACATACCCAGTGGGGAGTGTGCAGGAGGCAGCTGATCGATGTTTCTCTCTCATCAATGTTTCTAACGATCCCTCTCCCTTCCTCTCTGTAAAAAATCAATAAAATATATATTTTTTAAAAAAGACTCCCAGGTGATTCTAATGTGCAGCCAAGGTTGAGAACCACTGTTAAACAGGATTAACTCCTTGCCAGAGCAGACAGGGAGTAGTTCTGTCAACAGATAGGTTAAATATTTGTTTAAATATCAGTTCTGGGTATTTCCAGAACCTTGTGGTATAACTTCAGCTATTGAGGCGCTTTTCACATTCTTAAAGGAAATCATCTTTTTTAAATGGTAAAACAAGAGGACGTTGCCCCTTCCATAGATCGTCTTGCACGTTAAAATATCAAATTCATGGAAGCGATCAACAAATGTTTCTCATTGTTTCATTGCATATTTTAATGTGAAAAATGATTTTTAAGAAAGCTGGTTTTCTGATATTTCAGTATATATTACGCCTTTATCTAAAGTGTCCTCCTTTGGCAGATACTATCATTTTACACACGAGGAAATTTATTTCGTGTCTAGTGGAGCCCCTCGTTTTACGCTGTGATAACTGAGGTTCGAGCTGCACCTGACTTACGGACGTTGCAGGGTTAATCATTTCAGAACCAGAGCGCACATGACTAATTCCTTGTCCGGTGCTGCGCCTTCCCACGCCAAGATTTCTTGGACACCAAGATTCTCGAATAGGATATTGATTCTGTACTGTGGATGCATTTAAAGATTCATATTATTGGGAGCTTTTCTTTGTGTGTTTTCACCCCTTACTTATTGTACTTCAGTTGCTGTACAGTGAAGGCTTTCCTGGTCTCATTTGGACTCTTTTTCCACTTGCCTCACACGGGAGGTGCCCAGCACTGCCCCAGAGGAACTCTGCCACCTGGACATGCTCCCTGCCGGAAGGGCTGTGCGTTGGTGTTAGGCACTGAAGTATTTATTTTGTTTGTTTTTGTTAATCCTCACCTGAGGTTATTTTTCCATTGGTTTTTAGAGAGAGTGGGAGAGAGTGGGAAAGACAGAGAGAAACATCGATGTGTCTGAAACACATCGACTGGTTGCCTCCTGCACCGGCCCCTACCAGGAGCCTGCAACCTAGGTACATGTCCTTGACCGGAATCCAACCTGGAACCCTTCAGTCCGCAGGCTGACGCTCTATCCATTGAGCCAAACTGGCTAGGGCGGCACTGAAGTCAGTTTTTTAAAGTCTGCACTACCTTGCCAAACAGGAAACGTATTTTAGATCTTATTTCACTAGCTGGTTGACTTGCAAGCTCTGCTTTCCAAGTCACTCCTCTCTCTCACTCGGTGCAGTTTTCTAAAAAGTTGTGAAAAATACATAATGTTCATGTCATGAGGGGAGCTGACTGGCTAAGAAAAACTTGTAATGATACTGTAAATTGAATAGTCACTGTTTTAAGCAGGCAGACGCAGGTATCTTCCTCCCGAGGACACCACCCCTGATGAAATACACGGGGTGCAGTCTTCCACGCGGTGTTTAGGCTCTTCAGAAACTTCTCCCGTTGGTGCTGCTCAGTTATTCATTGTCCTTAGCTTCTAAGTATCTTAGAGCTAGCAGTGAAGGAGTTACTCAGTCACAGCACCGATGGTTAGGATAGAGAGCGTTCTGAGACTCCCCAGTCCATGGGTGAACACAGATTTAGTAAGGCCTTAGCCATGCTTTCAGCACTGAAACGCTTCCATCAACACTTCTCAGTGAGCGACCTTGTCCTAATTTGCAACGTTCGCCAAAGTATACAGCTTTTCCTTTCCCAATTGATCTTTTAAAGTGAATGTTGGTACAGATGGACAGCTATGGACAGGTACCAGCATACATAGATAGGGCAGGGTTTTCCCAGGACACTAACACAGAACAGGTAGGACATCCTAAAGGAAAAATATGTTTGCCATGATTTGAGGGTCAGTGTGTGTTTATTATTATTTCAAGTAGAGGCCTGGTGCACAAAATTTGTGCACTCACGGGGGGCCCTCAGCTCGGCCTGCACCCTCTCGCAGTCCAGGAGCCCTCGGAGAATGTCTGCCTGCCACGGAGGCGGGAGAGGCTCCCACCACCACCGCTGAGCTCACCAACTGTGAGCCTGGCTTCTGGCTGAGCGGCATGCCCCCTGTGGGAGCACACTGACCACGAGGGGGCAGCTCCTGCATTGAGCGTCTGCCCCCTGGTGATCAGTGCGCATCATAGCAACCGGTCATTCCGCCATTCAGTCAATTTGCATAATAGCCTTTTATTATATAGGATGTGGAATTTATGAGGAGGAAGAGATAAGAGTATTGAAAGAATAAACTGGTAGGTAAATTAAGTCAGCTGATCCACTTGGGAGTAAAGGAAGAAGGAGAAAGGTGACACTACACCAACAGAACTGGCTGGTGGTGGGTGAGGTCTGTCTTTGGGCGATACGGGAAGGACTGTGTATGGGAAATGCTGTAGCAAGTTCACTGTCCCACCTTCCTGGTGACCCTAGTTAGCGGTCCTCTTCCCGGACCCCTGTTCTGGAACTGCATGAGTGCAATCTTGCCCACAGCTTCCATCGGACTAAATGAAGAACAGAAAGGATATCAGAAAGTGGCCTTTGACTTTGCAGCCCGGGAGATGGCTCCCCATATGGCAGAGTGGGACCAGAAGGTAGGAGTTTTCCTTGTGGCCCGATGTTCCAACAATTGCCTTCTCTTCCTCGGCTTGTAGTCCTAAGCGTTAGGTGTTTAATCCCCACCTGTGCGTGTGAGTACTGGTAACGACGTGATTCCTTTCCTTGAGGCACCCTCCTCATCTCGCAGATACCTGTTTTGTTTTGTTCAGTTTACACTGTGCAAAGATTCAGACCACTTCTAAAACCAAGGCAGTTGTAGATAATGAAAGAAACGTTAACGCCGGAAAACCGGTTCTCGCAGAAGGCATTTTAGCTGATACCCCTGCAGAGATGACAGATGGGCATACTAAGTGGAGAGAATCCCCCAAACTCAACCATCTTAACCCCTCCGTGAGCCCTGTAAAGAAAAGTCCACCCGTGGCTCACTCCCTGCTGACCCCCTCTCTCTCGTACATAGGAACTGTTCCCCGTGGACATGATGCGGAAGGCAGCCCAGCTAGGCTTTGGTGGGGTCTACGTACGCACGGACGTCGGTGGGTCTGGACTGTCCCGGCTCGATGCCTCTGTCATCTTTGAAGCCTTGGCGACGGGCTGCACCAGCACCACCGCCTACATAAGCATCCACAAGTGAGTGCCCGCACCTGAAAAGCACAGCGAGGTCTCACCTGGGTTGACTAGGAAGTTTCCGATAAACAGGGAAAAGGTTTATCTTT